ACATAGCAAAACCCAGGGTTCATTTACTGAAGGAGAAAAGTGAAAAGAACATAAAACCAGCCAACATTTGAGTATAGCAGAATCACATCAATGGTAACTCCAGAGGTAGTTTGTGTACTTGAGAAAGTTGCACATGTGTGGCTAGAGAATGGGTTTGTAGCACCTGAGAGTGAAATGCCTTTGGGGCAGATACTCTGTGATTACAAAAACATTTTACATGTCTGTAATTCTGGATAATAACCTGTGCCCAATTTTTTGACAGTCAGCAGGCCTAAAAGAAGGTGACTACATTGTATCAGTTGCTGGTGTGGATTGCAAGTGGCTTGGTGTCAGTGAAGTGCTGGAAAAATTGCAAAGTGTGGGAAAGCAGCCCGTGGAGATGGAGGTTATCAGTTGCCAGGATACAGCAGCATCTTTGGTATGGAAAGAGGCAAATTTGGCAGATTTGATGTGCTGGAGTTGTGTCACTTGTCCCTTCCTGGTTACTGTTTACTCTCCTGTAGTCAGATACCCCACTCAGCCTGGCAATATACAAAGCCTTCAGATGTGTGCTCAGTTTTAAACCATCTGTTTCAAGCATTGTGACCTAGCAAGCTAAAGCAGCCTGTCTGCATAAGAATGGTTGGGTGGGGGGATTTTTTGTAGTGCAGCTCCTTAGATTAATTGCATGAAAAATTTCAAGACCTAGTTTATTTCCCCTAACTTGTCCAAGAGGATGAAGGCATTACCCTCATCAGCAGTGGAAAAACCACAATGGAACAATAATGGAACGAAATAGAACATCCAAGACCACATGTTTATTTTCTATGCACTGTCATTCTAAATGATCTGTGACTTATGCATTAGATCATGGATTATTGTAGGTATTTTTCTTATTTTGGTGAACTTTTAACTGTCCAGTCATTTATAAAGCTACTATAGAAGCTTTAGACCAAGGGAAAGTCATCACAAGATTAAAAAGTATTAAGCTCTAAATAACTTATTAGTTGTGTGAAAGAAGCTGTAGTTCAGCTAAATCCACTGCTTCATGCCTCTAACATTCCCTGGCAAGATTAGACACTCAAGTAATGTTGCCTGAGAAGCTATTAAGGTGCCCCTGCTGCTGTTAGGTTTTCTTGTTTGGTTAAAATTGGTTTTCCTTGTTGAAAATAAGGAATTATGCATCTGCCATTCCAAGTTGCAACTCAAAGGCTGGAATATAATCAAATATTTTTATATAATCAATATAATTTGCTCCAGGGCAAAGCTAAGAGGAGACAGAGAAGGTTGTCCCTTTCAGGTATCCCAGGAGAATGTCACACAGGAGCTGCTGTAGTTGTGATCAGTATAGAACCTGTCCAAAGACAGCAAAATTCCTTCACATGTGTGCAGGAATTACACACTTGAGCTTTGTAGGGAGGCTAGTGTGTATATTAAATAGTTCTGCCAGAAGCCAGTAAATGCTAACAACCCAAGAAAAGGTTCACAAGTTCCTTTATGTGTTGCAGAGTGTACCTTGGAGTCTACATGTGCAAAATGCCAGGGTGACAGCACTCTGAAGGGCCTTGTGCTCAGTTAGCAATGGCATCAGCACAGAAAGCTTGCTGCAGGCTGCCCTTCTCAGTTCTCACTGTTTGCACAGTAGCCTTTTGTTATTCTCAAAATTCTGACCCATTTTGGATGACTGATTCTTACCATGCTTCTCTTTTTCCCACAGCATAGCAAGAGTGCAACTTACTCCATGGGAATGCAGAAGACATACTCCTTAATCTGTTTAGCCATGGATGAGGATAAAATTGATCAGACCAAGAAAGCCCCACTGAAACTCCCTTTTCTAAGCTGGGGAACTAAAAACAGACAGAAAGCTGCAAGTACACTCTGCCTTCCTTCAGCTGTGGCTGGAAGTTCTCAGATGAAAAAGAAACTTTCTCCCTTCACACTCTTCAATACAGAAAGTTCATTGTACTGAATCTTTCAGAAGCATCTGTTAACGTGACTTTTGTTTAAAATGTAAAAATATTGATCAATTTTATCTTCACATACGTATGTGTAAACTCAGACAAATCCTGGTGACTTCATTTGCTGTACATTGAGCCACTTGTGGTCAGAAGCTGGCAGAAACTAAAACTGAAGTGTTTGAAGGTTAGAATGAAGTCCTTTGGGAGGTATGCAATAACAAGATGTAGATTCTAGAATGGCTGACATGAGGACTGGACTCCTTTGGGAGTTCCAAATACAGTTACGACTGATTTTTCATAAAAATAGTCATAACTATGCTAGATGGGAGTTATTTATTACAAACTTGATGCTGAATGCAAAATAATAGGGGACAAATTCAAGAATGATTTTGCTCTTAAAGTTTAGCATCAATAATAAACACTACTTTAACACTATTTTAACACTGCTTTGAAGAATTATCTTAAAAAAGCACAGGAGAGAAGGAATGTGATTATTCAGAGAAACAAGTCTTGTGCCAAGGAGCAGTGTCATAGAGTTAGGTTTATATGCAGAGGTGCTTCCTCACAGTCCTAGGTGTAGCCTACTGAACAGGTCATTTAGTTCTGGAAGAGAATTACAAAGCTGAAAATTTAAAAGGTCTTTTGAACTCCAAAAGGCTTTTACTCTCTTCTTTTTCTGATTTAGGTAACATTATAAATGCCTGTTGATTCAGTTGTTAAAAACAGGCTTTATTCCAAATGTTATTTAACCTACTTACCTTAAGAGTTGTATCTCATTTGTCTTGATAAAATGGATAGCTGTGAAACAAATCTCAAAATGGACATATTATAATATATTGATGCTCTAAAATATGATAAAAGAAGTACTTGTGCTAAGTGGCAGGATATTTATTTACTATCACATCAAGCAAAAAAAATCTTCTGCCCTTGGAAAAATTAATGAGCAAGCTGTATCTAGAGTAAGGAGGGGGACAAAAAATAACTATTATTTCCTTAAATTAATTGAAAATTGCTAACACTGTAGTGTTAGTTAACTTTGCCATCTACAGAGTAGATAGATATTTAAAATTTACACAAAAATCTGCATCTTGCTGTAAACTTTAAAGTTGTCATTTATTTTTAATTTCTTATGTAGTAGGTGTAAATATCTTGATGACTTGATGACCCTTATTTAAGAATAAAAATCAGATGCTGCCATTTACTAGTAGCTTTTCAATTCTGCTGCAGCTTGGATGATAAAACATAATTTACAAGTTTTTGCTGTTTACTGTTGCCATACCTCTTGTGTGTTTCTCTAATGTTGCTTACAGAGATCTAAGAAAGTTTTAAGAAAAGTTCCTGTCTTGTGCAATATCAACCAAGAGTTTAAAACCAACTTCCTTACCAAGAGTGTAACCATATTTCTAGGTTCCCTGTAAAGGTTACATAAAAAAATAAGTTGTAAATTCCTTGTTTTTTGCCTATCCTCAGCAATTACTCTTCAGGTGTGTTGGTAGTAGTGCTTGGTTTAGACACACAGGCAGCAGGCAGACCCTGATCAGCACAGCCCTGCCTCACACTCTTCCATACAGATGAGATTGCTGAAATTGCTGTCCAAGTACCCAAACCTTTAGCAAAGTCACAGCAATCATCCTTGCAGCTCTTCATTTCTCTTAAGCCCCTGTCATAGTCTTGCTGAAATCCTTTCCCTCTTGAATAATCGTCTTTCTCATCCTATCATCACACTCACTTGTCCTTGAGGAAAGCTTGGCTTTGAAAATTTCAAACAAACCCCTCAATTCAAGTATAAATGTGGACCTCTCAGGTGCCAGACAAATACTCTTGGTGGTCTATCAGCTATCTGAAAACTCATTCTACACTGAGTGGTAGCCAGCAGCTACCTCAGCTAGCAGTGAAAGGAGTCTGTGCCCCAGTCAGGCCACAGGAATTGTTGTCCCAAGTGTCTACCCACAAGGATGTATAGGCTGCTGTAAAGCCTTGAAAAGAAGGGTTAGCAGTGGATTAGTAGCACAGCCTGTAACTCCATTAATATTAATTATTACTCCTTCAGCTGAACTGTATTTAATGCACTGAGCAGATGGCCATTTGCCATAGGGAAAAGGTGTTTGTCTTGGAACATAACAGCCACATGCCTTTAGAGGTGAAATCCAGCCTTCACAGCAAAGTGACAAAACCTTAGAGGAATAAAATCTGAGCAAACCCATGGATAAAGAAGCTTTAAGTACTCTCTAGTTGCCTGAAAAAAAAAAAGTAGTATCTTTTCCTGGACTTTAGGAAATTCTGATGTTTATTATTCACTAAATGAAATAATTATGTCTAAGTTACAGAATCCATATAAAGAGCAGGTTCACCTGATCTCCATGCTAACCATGTATGTATAAGAGAGGTGCCATGGCTCCCACAGCAGGGAGTGGAAAATCCTCCTCAGCTGCCTTCCTGCTGTGGTCCAAACTCCCAAGTGCTATGAGGGATGCTTTTCTCACACCTCCTCAAGGGAAAAGGCAACTTTACCCTTAGAAAAGAGGATAAGAATAGAACTTAAAATAAAATGCAAGATGTAAACCAATATGCTTTACAAATAGATTTTCAAAATAGTAGTACTGGAAGAGTAGTATGAATTAGGAATTTTGTTCAAAGCTTCCCATATTATTTTCTTTGAAGTGTATATAATAGTATGATTGATAGTATAATTAACATATTAGAAGTTATAATTTAACAAAATATTTTGCAATTTATTATTAGTATGCCAACCTATATTCAGAAGGACAACATGAATTAACCAGTATTTTGGACATCAGACACATAGGAATAAATGTGTTAATGCCCCATGAACTGGAGGGATGACCACAGAAATAAGTTAGTGTGAGGTCAAATCTGTATTCAAGTAGGACTTTCCAAAGGAGTTCCAAACTGTTATGAATCCAAGATGTTACTATAAAGCAATATATGCTAACTTTTAAAAGACATGCAACATATTTCCAGTTACTGAGAAGTTAATATGCCCATATTCATATGGTGGTTTTCTTCTGGAAGACCAAAGTAAGCAAACATAGTGCTCTTCCATTTCTTACCACTGATGCTGAAAAAGCTTTCTTGGTTTTTATTTGTTCCAGATAGATACAAAATACAAATTCCTTTTCAAGGCAATTTGCACAGCTTAATCTATATGAACAGAGCAGATGTAAAAAAGAAGCATCAGAGTCCAGTTGCTGCTAGCTAGCCATGATTACAGAAATCCGCATAATATGTGATTATTAAAATGAAAATGTTGGGATTTTTCTTCTGAATTGCAAGTTTTTGTTCGCAAACCACCACCACACGTGCACGTCAGGAGTGTAAAAAAGCATAAATCTGTTGTGCTGCTGTCGGTCCAACCGCTGGCTCCAGCTGCGGGGTGCCGGCGTTGCAGAGGCGGTGGATGCTCCCGAAGCGCTGCAGCAGGAGCAGAGCTTTGGTTCTCCCGACGCCGGGGATGCGCTGCAGCGCCTGCAGCACCGCGGGCTCTGCCGGCCGGGCGCGCTGCCTGCCCGCGAACGGCTTGGAGCCACGATCCCGGCTCTGCTCCCGCACCTGCGGCCAGAGAGAGCTGTCAGCGACACCCAGCGCTCCTGCACCGCCCGCGGGCGGCGCTTGCTCGGCTTCATCGCTCAGCATGCCCTGCAATCGCCAGGAAATGGTAAAGACAGGCTCCCGCCTTAGGGGTGCTCCCTCGCGGGATGCGGTGCCACAAAACCTTACCAGGAAACCTGTCACGGACATGCTTCAGGAAAAATCCTGGCCTTAGGGCTTTTTCTCCTGAGAAGCTGAGAGGCCTCAGAAATGAAAGGTAACCAATGGTTATCTGCTGCTGTGGAATGCAACAGGTGCATCTGGGATTGGGCTCATGTGGTTGTTTTTAATTAATGGCCAATCACAGTCAGCTGGCTCAGACTCTCTGGTCAGTCACAAGATTTTATTCTCATTCCATTCCTTGCTAGCCTTCTGATGAAATCCTTTCTTCTATTCTAGTTTTAATATAACATTTTCTTTCAATATATAATAAAATAATAAATCAGCCTTATGAAACATGAAGTCAAGATTCTCATCTCTTCTCTCATCCTGGGACCCCTGTGAACACCACCACAGAAACCAACAAGTCCTTAATAGCAACAACAAATGAAAACAATTGTTTTTGTCACCTTTTGGATGCAGTCAGAGAAAGGGTAACAAGAAACAATTTTAAAACAGTTTCTCCAGCCTTAGAGAAAGCCAAGTCTCAAGTTGATTTTGACAGTGATGTTTTCCTAATGCTACCTCGTGGCACCTCATACAAGATTACATTTAAAAAATGCAGGATCATATTCTTCAATCTCTTTTCTTTGTTCCCAAATGAGCCTTCTTTCCACTGAACTCTACTACTGTACCACTGGTGCAGAAGATTTATTCCTTACATTCAAATGATGTTGTGCTCCTATGTATTCTCTATTCCTTACGTTCAAATGATGTGCTCCTTTAAGATCCTGTGTATTTTCTCTGAAATGATCATTGGGGAGATCTACCTGCTTTGCTATACATCTCATATTTTAATATAACTCAGAAACTTACCTGCTTTGCTATACATCTCATATTTTAATATAACTCAGAAACTTACTAGTTGAATAATAAGCTGAGAAGCTTCTCCTTGATTTGCCACAGGAAGCAACACCATGCCAAGTTCAAGTACCACAAGTTTTTGTACTCCTAGGAAGTACTGATCACTGATTGGGGTTTTCTCTACAATTACAATTCCCCTCAGACTGCTGGCCTGTATTGAAAGGAAAAAGATATTAGGAAAAACCTTGTTAATGACAAGTTAATGCAATGTAGCAGAGAGGAATTCTTTCAAGTATGAGCTGCCTAATAGCAAATCAGAGGAAGAATCTAAGTTGCAGCAACAGGACAGAGATTTAATACAGCTGCAGAGTTTTTCTGTTCCCATGTGAAAATTATCCCAAAAGGTCATCTCCAATGGAATTAAAAAAAAAAACAAACAAAAACCACAAGTAGAATGTTTTCAGAAGCATGGAATAAACAAGTATCAAGTGAAAACTTTTCTCTTTATATAGCACTTACATTTCTAAACTTAACCAATCTTCGTTTGAATTCATCCCCTGCAACCATATCTGCTTCAGAAATAAGTAAAATGCAAGTTCTGTTTGGAAGATGAAAGTCCACCAGTCCCAAGGCATCTTCAAAGATGAGTCTAACTTTCCCTTAGGGTGAGATTGTTAGAAGAAAAAATACAGTAGTTAAAAATATACTAACAATTATTTCACAGCACACCCTTCCTAAAGTGTCAAATATTCTAGGGACTTGATAATGAACTTTATAGAAAACCTTTTTTCCCTTTAAGTAAATCTATTACAAGCAGTCCAAACTATCTTTAGTAATGCAAATTAATAGCAGTTCCAATCTACAGATTTAGAAGTACTAAAGCTGCCCAGTAAACTCTGGACTTTAATAAAAATACCACATGCTTTTCTGGAGGGAGCATCATCATTTAGTTTGTTGTGCCAGCAAGACAGTAGCATTGTAAATTCAAGGGAGCTCAGTGGAGAAGCAAATCTGCAAAGCCCCACAAGAGCAGATCCTGCTCCTTCCCTGCAGTGCTCTGAAAACTGAGCTGATCACACAGATACACGACAAACAACCGGGATCTTTCAGCCTGCTAACATAGCCTGTACCACAAATACGGGACCAGTCAGGCACAGAGTACAGCACATCCCAGCTGTTCTCAACTTTACTGGGCAATAGAGGGGAATGTTTTGCCTGACTTTGCTTTTCCTCTTCCAGTTTGTGCTTACCTTGTAGCCTTTGGGCCAGCTCTGAGCCTCTCCACTTCTCATTTCCAATCACATGCCCTAAAGGGACAACTATAGATCCTGCTGTCACAGGAGAGTTTGCTTTTGCTGTCATCAGCCCTCCTTTAAAATCCTCCTTCAGTAGCAGTTACACCCTAGAAAGAAACGTGGAAAAACAGGAACACAATTTACAAACCTGTTGCAAGCTTATACATTTTAATCATAAACTCAGGATGCAATATTCTGGAAGAGACACTACCTCCTTCCTCAAGCTTCCTTACAGCTAAGGTGAAAATCGGCCAGCAGCTCTGTTCACTTAATACATGCTGTTAACTTGCAAATTCCACTTTCAACTTTACCGCTCAGCCTGAATTAAAACACACAGACGGTGAAAAAAACCCACATTGCCTTTTCCATACCTTCACTCAACTTGCTGGGAGGAAATCTTCCTGAATTACAAAGCCGACTCCAGAGGCCCCTCCATCCCTCAGCTGGTGGAGGCCTCCAGACCAATTATTAACATGTGGGAGAGATCATGTCCAGGTTTGCCAGTTTTACGCGGTGTTCTGACTTTAACGTGCCTTGGAGGCTAAGGCATGATCTAAAGGACAAGCACCACAGGCAGGCTGGTACCACACCGACACATCCCACGGCAGAGATCGCAGGGGCGCCGCCCGGCCCGGAGGAGCCGCCCGGCCCGGAGGAGCCGCCCGCAGCAGCCAAGGGCCCGCCGGGCAGCGGCACCGGGAAGCGGCAGCGGGAGCTCCACAGGCCGCGGGCGGAGGAGGAGCGGAGGGGCGGAGAGGCGGAGGGCGGGCCGCACCCGGAGCTGTTGCTACGGCCGAGCGAGGGTGAGTAAAGCCCGTGCTGACTGGAGGAGCTGGGGCCCGCAGCAAATCCGCCGTGGCTTTGTTTCCAGGCGGGTCGCGAAGGCGAAGCGTCCGACGCGGCGGGGAGGCGGCCGTGAGGCGGTGGTTGGAGCCGTCCCGTCCTGATGGCGTTCCTGTTCAGGAGAGGCCGCAGGGGCCCCTTCGTGAGTATCGCTGTGCCCGGCATGGGGCTCCTTTACCGTGAGCAGGGACAGCAGCAGGACAGGGGGTCTGTGCGCGGCTGGGGCGAGGGGTGGTTTCTGCTGCTGATGCCGGTGATCGCTGACCAGTTTAAAATGAAAATCGGGGAGAAAAATGAAGCCCAAACCAAGACAAAATGGTGTCTGGGGGCTGATGCGTTCCTTTCCCTCAGTCCCGGGCCTGCCTGGCTTTTCAGGAACGCCGAGCTTCCTTTTCCCTTTCCCTTTCCCTTCCCCTCCCCTCTGGCCGGGCTGGCAGCGCAGCTCGCTCGCTCCCCGCTCTTGCTGGGGCGATCCCCGAAGCGCCGTTCGGTAACGTGAGCTGATAAAAGTTCTGATGGACGGCCCAAAGCAGCCACAGGCTGTGCGGGTGTCAGCAGTTGTGCGGGTGTTCTCTTCCAACACACTTGAACTAAATGAATTTTTGTTTATTGCTACAGTGAAAGTATTGATCTTCTGTTGTTGTCATCCTTTTATTGTGGGATGACTTTTACTTCACATGTGTTCCCTGGTAGTTTTAGTAGGGTCAGTCACAGTCGTTTACAGTCAACAGCCTGTAGTAGACGAATGGTGCATGCCAGACAGACGTGCAGAATTAATGTGTTTGCATGACTGAGTGAAAAGGCAGCCTTTTAATGCACCATTCGATGTGGCTTCATGTAAAACCAGAAATATTTCCCAGTCTGCATCTTCATTCTCCTGTTGCAGAAGTGAATTAAAGAATAACTGGGGGGGAAAAGATCTGTAGCAGAAATAGCAGGAACTTAGCCTGTTTCACTCCATAGAAAAGTAACATCTGCCCAAAGGTGATGGACTCTATTATGGCATAGTATTCTCTGATGCCTAGAGACAGAACAAGAGGTAATGAGCACAAACTCGAGCACAGATAATTCAACTTAAACATAATAATAAAATACTGTGAGGTGGCTCAGCACTGGTCCAGGCTGGAGATACACAAGACACGACTGGACAGGACACCAAGCAGCCCTCACCCAGCTTTGAGCAGGAGCTCAATTGAGCTGGACAGTGGCCAGAGCTCCCTTCCAACCTCAGTCAGTTTTCCTGGTTGAGGAATACAATGCAGTTTCCTTCACAGTACTTTACTCTGGTCCCAGTTTTTCTGAGCTGGGATTTATTATTATACCATTAAAAAAAATACTGTGCTTGCTGATGAAAAAAAATATTGTTTTTTTTGTTTTTTTTAATTAAGGTTGAACCTTTGACTGCAAGACTTAGTGGTAGGGTTTTTTTTCATCTCACACTGCTACGACTGAGGATTAACAAACTCTAGAAGAAAGGGACTCATATTGTTACACTGAAGCAGCATTCAGATATTTTGAAAAACTGGACTAGAAAATAACTTTTTTCTTGTATACCCGTAGGAAAAAGATGAGTAAGTTAAAATTCTTGTTTTCCAAACTGTGATATAGTGGATAGGAAATGTACATTCATGGATCTCATGTAAATTACATTTCTGACCTTCAAGAGCAGCTGTTGATAAATGTTAAATGAACTTGCCAGCTTTAGGTGGTGTTCTGACTTTAAGGGGAATGAAATGCCATTTCAAGTCTTCTGTTTACATTAATTGCATGTAATTGTTCTTCCTTTTTATATTATTTTGCATTGTTAATTTCTGTGCGCATTCAGTTCTGTGTTTTTTCTCATTGTAATCCTTAAAATCATTGTCAACTAATTTTATTTTACATCATTTAGAAACACATAGCTCATGGCCTGGTCCCTGCTGCTACCATAGCTCCTAAACCTGCAGTTCCCCGCACCCCTCCCCCTCGTAGTCCAAACCCTTCTCCAGAAAGGCCCAGGTATGTGTTGCTTTTTGGGGTTTTTTTTTAAATTTTTCTCTTTTTTTAAAATATTTTTTGTTGTTTCATCAGGTATTGTAGCATACTAGAAAAATCTGATTAGAATTGCATGTCTTTACAGTGTTTTCAAAACTTTTCATAAAAATAATATATTTTTAAGGGGGGGGAGTTTCTCACTCTGAAGTTTTTTTTCCCCACTCCTAAGCATGGTAAATATTCAGTAACTGTTGTGAACTGCTGTGAGTCAATTAAAGACAAATGGACTATTTAAAGTTAGTGGAATTTTTAATTTGGCTGCTACAGTAGAGTGTAGGACTGCAGCAGCACGAGTCCTGTGAGTCAGGAGATGTTAGCTCATTAGAAAAACATAAATTAAACCTTGCTACCATACCAGGGACTTAAAAAAACTGGCATGTAACACCACTCTGGATTGGAAAAATGCAAATTATTTTTCTTTTAAGTTGTAGTTTCTTACAGTTTTTATTCTGTGTTTTTTCTGCTTTCTGGTAGTTTTCCATGGCCTTTCTAGTGTCTGTAACATTCCTACTTAATTCTAATTTATTTCTTCTTCCTTCTTGGCCTCAAGTTCTTGTCATTCATTTTACAGTTCTCAGCTTTTCACTGCTTTAATCTTAGTTACTACTTATTTTTCCTTTCCATGATACCCTTCTCTGTACTCCACAGCATCACACAAATAGGCACTTCTGTTTGCTTGTCCTGGTTTGCAGTGTGCCAACATTTATTAACAACTTCAGAGTCATCAGTAAAAGGTTTAGAGTAGGGAATAATGGAGACAAAATAGCAGGACATGGAAGACCTTTTCAACACAACACAAGGTACTATTGTTATGGCTGAGGTGAATGCTCAATACTGGAAATTATTGATGTGAATTTCGGGAAAGTAACTCGGTATATTCCATGATTTTCATGCATGGGATTTGGGAAAACCAGTAGATATTGTGCCTTACTCTTGGATAGCTGCATTGTTTTGTGCTTTACTTTGGGAGGTATAGTTTATAGTTTATAACCAATCCCACAGCATTCACTGGTATTTATGCTTGTTAACTGTGGACATTTTGCTTTGATTAAACAGAGAAGCATTACTGTTTTGTGCTTTATTTTGGGAGGTTATAGTTTATAACCAATCCCACAGCATTCACTGGTATTTATGCTCGTTAACTGTGAACATTTTGCTTTGATTAAACAGAGAAGACATTTTGCAAAGGAAAAGTTATAAAACATGGAGCCCAGAGCAAGCAGCAGTGTTGCTTCATTGCTTTATTCTGTTTCCTCCCAGGTCTGCTCTAGCAGCAGCAATCCTTGCAACGACACTAACGGGGCGCACTGTTGCTATTCCTCAGCCTCGGCAGAGATCCCTTTCTGAAGGTGATTCCACCTACTTGGAACAAGAATGTTTGGAGCCATATGCAACAGTCACAGAGCTTGGAATAGGGTAGTGTATGCTTTCTGGTTTGATACCTGAAATTGTGATGATAAATGATACCTTGGAATCTCTCAGTGATCAATTTTACCAAAGAGTGACAGCAAACTCCTGATGTTACAGCTACTTACATTTTTCTTACCATACCATAAATTCAGTCTGAAGTGTCTAACAATCCTTATTCTGTTTCTTGTAAAGTGGTGTCACAAATACAATCTTCAGAGAGGCAGGTTTTAATTGTACAACAGTCATAACTAAAATCACATACTGTTTCTGTCAAATGATGATCAATTTTACAGAATGTGGTAAACTGAGGAATCACTTGAATTACATCTAAGGTATTTCCTTTGTGCTAAAATGATTATTTCAGACTGTCTTTTTGGTAGAATTAGGAACCTTCTATCTCTAATCTGGAATTTTAAGATAGAGAGGAAAAGGTAGTACCACTGTTAATTATCTATTTTAGAGTATACACGTTGACACTGTCTTGGAGATGGTTTATTATCCCATACCATTTAGGGTTGTTGATCTGTTTGGTTTGGTTTGTGCCCAGGGTGGCTGTTGTCCCTGCTTCAGCCCCCACCCTCCTTGGCTCTGGGGCTCTTGAGAAGAATGGAGCTGAGCTGGGGTGTCCAGAGGGAGTTTGGGGCAGGGTGAGAGGAATGGGCTCGTTCCACTGGACACACTGTCCAGGGATCCTGCTGTTTCTGTGGGTCTTGCCTGATTATTTTTGTAGTTGGGTTTTTTTTTTTTTTTTGGTTTTTTTTTGGGGGGTTTTTTTGGGGGGTTTTATGGGTTTTTCTGGGTTTTTTTTGGTTTTGTTTGTTTGTTGGTTGGTTTTTGGTTTTTTTTTTTTTTGTTTGGGTTTTTTTGTTTTGTTTGTTGGTTGGTTTCTTTGGTTTCTTTTTGTTTCTTTCCTTGTTGTTTGGGTTGGTTTTTTTTGGTTGGTTGGTTGTTTTGTTGTTGTTTTTTTTAATTATTGTTATTTTTGCTTTGGCACTGTGACTGAGCTTGCCAGCTTAGCCTCTTTTGCTGCTCTGCTCTTGGGAAGCCCAGAGCCAGTGCGTGCCCGCCAGGAGCTCTGCACAGCCCAAGCCAGGCACCAGCCAGTGCCAGTGAGCAGTCCTGGGGAGTTTCTCAGATGTGTTTGGGAGCTGGGGCTGCTGCCCAGCACCCTCCACAGTGCCCTGGCTGCTGCTCCGGGGTTTTCCCTACACTGGAGCTGTTTTGCCCCTCCCTTCCAGGAGGTGAAAAGTTCAGCTACAGCTGCAGAGTCTCTGCTGCCTCTTGCTTGCTGTCCTGGGGGAGC